CTTGCTTGAGTGGAAGCGACTTGTGGGTCTGCTGCACGGTAAACGCGAGGGCGGTTGCAGTTGACTTTGGAGTGCCCGGAAGTCTGGCAGTTGTGGCAGAATGGCGGTACGATGGTGAGTCCTCGGTTGTCGCGTTGATCTTGCTTGCTGCGTCGGTTGTAGTTGTTGTCATTTCTTCTTTGAGTGTAGAAGACTAACTGCTGTTGCTTCCTTGGTTGTCTTTCCTCGAACAGATCCATCTCCTGTTGTTCAGCGTGAAGCTCGGCGCAGAGGTGCATCTCCGAAATTCTTCCGTGGGCTCGAAGAAGTGATCGTGTGGTTCTCCATTCTGGCCCGAGCCCGGCGAGGACAAGTGTCACGAAGCTTTCTTCAGTGATCGTTCCTCCGCACCGAAGCAGGCGGTCGCGGAGGGTCTGGCAGCGACTCATATACTGCATCGCCTTTTCCCCGGTCTTCATTTGTATTGTTGTCAACTGTTGCATGAGTCTGCTTTGTGTCACGCTGTCGTTTGCTTGGTAAAGGCACTTGAGGTGGTGCCATGCGAGCTCCGCGGAGTTTCCATAACTCCGATACGTTCTGATGCTCTGCTGCTCTTGTGGTGACAGGTTTCTCAGGAGTACCGTGTACGCCAGCAGCGACTGATATGTGAAGATCTCTTGTTCCTTCCCAGTGCCGTTGCTTGGGAATGGCAGGGACCCGTTGAAGTATCCCAGAAGATGCGCGGCCTCCATCAGCAGCTCGAACTCGAAGCTCCAGGTAAAGAAGTCGTGTCCGTTGAACGGTGAGGATGTTTGTAGCTTGATGACGTGTGAGAATTGAGCCTGGAGACTGAGAATTTCGTTTGGTGTTTGTTGTGATGCAGCTGCTGTTGGTTGGGCGCGGGGCGGCATGAACTCGAATGTCCCCGGTGAAGAATGATAAGGCGCAAAGGTAGGCGCTTGGTTGTGTCGCCCGAAGGATGAGTTATCGAGGCTCATCGGCGCTAATCCCATATTCCCTCCATTGCTCTGTGTTGAGTACGCAGGTGTCCTTGTCTGCTGTTGCTGGTCGAAGTGCGACATGAAGCTGAAGAATCTCTCCATGAGATTTGGGTCCACACTTGAAGAGGGAGACGGAGTCACCATCTCTGGTACTCTTCCCGTTGTTTCTTGAGCAGTCCCGGTCTCTGTCTGCAGTCCTGAGGTGTGCAGACCAGAGTTGCCGTGTTGAGTTTCTTGGGCGCTGGGTGAGCCCGTAGAGACTTTCTTGCCCTTGTTGTCCATGTCTTGCAATCAATGAAGTTGTTGAATTGAGTTGAGTTGCAGGTTGTTGATAGAACGTAGTTGCTGGGAGTTTGGTCTCTGACGAGCTCTCATACCATGTTGGGCTGAGAAAAGCCCTTAGGATCTTTTGCAGAGACTAAGTTCCAGCTGTGGAGACTTGAGACTTTGAGTAGTGCAGCGGAAGTTGAGACGGTTGAACCCTTGTACTAGTATGTGAGAACAAGTGATTGATTAAAGAAACAAGCATACAGCAATATATAGAAGATAAGAAAGCAGTTGTAGAATACAGTTACAGGAACGGTTTATCGAGTCGCACAGCGACTCGATTGCCGCTTCGGTTACCATCCGTGATGTTGTAACGGTCAGTCGCAACCTCCAGTTGCGACCTTTCGAGTCCTTTCGCATTCTTTGTCCGCCCCCTCGTGTAACCTCCGTTGACTCGCGTGCTCCCCTGTAATCTTCCTCGAGTACAGTGTTACACTTCAGAAACGCTTAAGTCCTTGAGATATTTCCAACACGTACTATATCTTACATTACCTTGACTGGCCTTGTGGCTCCTACTCCGGTGGCTGGACTAGTAGTGCCGCCCTGGGTTACTTCTGTTTAGTTTGTACTTTTGCTGACTGGTCGTCGGACCCTTGCCTCAGAGGTTGGACTAGTAGTACCACCCTGAGCTGCGTGTCTCATGCTAGCCGTTGCCCCTTGTCTCATGCTAACATATATTTTATAGGCTAGATAGGTGCATGCTCACAGAGAGTACAGCACCTTAGGTTATATTCCCTTGTACCTCATCATTCTAGTCAATCTGTTACTCTGAGACTCTCCTCCTCGGCTCTCCTCTCTTCCCCATCTCTCTTATCCCTCACAGCTGCAACTGCAGCCCTTGTGAGAGGATTGTTTGAAGAGGGATGAAACGTTTCGCAATACATGTTCTGAAGCACATCACGGTTTGACAAGGCACCTCGTGCTCGTCTAGACATCGTGACCCGTGGCCCGGCCCCCATGCGGCCTTGCAGCCACGGCCACTACCGAGGAGGAGAGGCGGGCAGGCGGGCAGATTGCCGTGCAGAGCTGCGGGCAGTGGTGGTAGCAACAGTGGCGTGGGCAGGGGTGGGGGCGGTCGAGGGGACAGAGGCCGGGGCAGCAGGGCCCACAGCCTCAGTCAGTTGCTGCTGCTGCCTTGCCCTGACCCCCTCCGCCTGCTGCTGCTGCTGCCTGGCGCGTGCCTCCACCCGCCTTAGGGCGAACATGGCAGCCCTCCTGCGCCTGCTGCGCGCCCCCACCCACCTGACGTTGGGGGGGGGGGGGGGGGGTTTGACGGAGAGAGATGGGGAGGATGGGAAGGCATCATGAGCGTGGGGGGGCGATGAGGGAGGCTTGCGTAGCCAAGGGGAGAAGACGAGAAGCAGCATGTGAGACACGACGCGCGGAAGTTAGAGCGGTTGAAACCACAGAAAGCAGGGCAGCAGAGGGGGGTGAAAGGAGGCAGGGGGGACGATGAGGGGGAGACGGAGGGAGCGAAAAGGTGAGGGGAGAGGGCAAGGGCGGCGAGCACGCTGACCGCAAGTAAGTGAGGCCAGCTGTGAGCACGAGCCCGCACACCAGCCACACCACATTGCCCCCAAACGGCCTCCCCCTCTCGATGCCCACCCACTGCTCCCACCACCCACTGCTGCCCTCCTCCGCCTCCTCCTCCTCATCAACCCCCTTCTCCCCGCTCCCTCCTCCCCCCTTGTGCCCCCCCCTCGCTTTACTAGCAGCAGCGGTGAGCGAGCCATCAAAACAGAACCTCTCGCCCCTCCCCTCGCCCTCTCTCCCCCCCATCTCCTCCCCACGCCCCCCTCTCCTCTCCACCCCCGCGCCGTGCGAGTCAGGCAGCCAATCGAAGCCTGCCAGCTGGCAGAACTGGCGGCCCGAGGAAGCAAAGGAGTCAAGCCGAGCGCAGAGAGTGTCGCGGCGGCCACAGGGGAAGATGTGCTGGGGGGGGGGGGAGAGGGGTGGGGGGGAGAAATGGAAGAATGGAGGGAGGAGGATGGGACGAGGAAAGGGGAGATGGACAGAGACAAGATGCAGAAGCCAAGGCAAACCTGAGCACCTGGAAACTCGCCTGAGCACCTAAGGTGCCAACCTGGGAGGAGCCATCAGCTGCGAAAAATGCTGCCCCGCAGGCAGAAAAGATGGCGTTGCAGAAGGAGTCGCAGATTGCAGGCGGCCCGTGCTGCGTGCCAATGAGGGGGTGACACGTGGCACACTGTAGAGCCTCCCACTTGGCGATGCAGTCGTCAGTCGGCTCCCCCCCCACCACCAGCCGCCTGGGGGCATGCAGGCGGAGGTGGAGGCGTAGGGAACGACAGGGAGAGGGGCGGGGGGGGCAGATGCAAGGGGGAAAGGGGGGGAAGTGGTGGAGAAGGGGGGAAGACAACTGAGTAGAGGGCGAACGGGGGCAGGAGGCAATGGTGAGAGGAAGCGCATGGCAGACACTGTAACACAGCCCTTGCTGGCACCCACCCGCTGCAACGACGCTGGTCCATTGTGCATGCGGAGGATCATGAAGTACACCAGCTAACTCCGCCACACCACCCCCTCTCTTCCCCCACTGCCCTCACCTGCCCTCACCTGCCCTCACCTGCCCTCACCTGCCCTCACCTGCCATCCCCTGGTGGAGATGAGCGCACAGACGCTGGTGTCGCGCCCGCAGCACGTCCTCTCGTTGCGCACGCGGCAGTGAGTGCTGCCACGGCGTTGACATCACGCCACTGACATCCCTCACCTCGTGGAGACGATGGCGTGGTCGCTGTTGTCGCGCCCGCAGCACGTCCGGTCTTTGTACACGCGGCAGTGCGTCAGCTCCTGCGCGCCGCCCTTGGGGCTCCTTCGCGGCAGCTTCCCATGCAGCCAGAAGGGCGGCCACTGCCCGCCCTGCGACACGCAGCGCCCGGGGGGAACTGCGGGGGGAGGAGAGACGGGGGCGAGTGGGGGGTGGGGGGGGTGGGGGAGATGGGGGAGATGGAGGAGGGGGAGTGTAGGGAAGGGGAGGAGGGGCAGAAAGGCTAGTATCGGTCAGGTGGGGCGAGGGGTACCGGGGGGGTCGACGGGGGGGGTGGACGGGGGGGGATCGGTTCGAATACCGGCGAGGCGACGAGCGATGGTCCGCGGGGACGGTGGGCTGGGGGGGACGGGGGAGGCACAGCGGAGGGGCAGAGAGGCTGGTCCGCCCGCTCTCGCGCTCTCCGATGCTCGCGGGGCGGAAACTGCGGAATAAGAAAATCGCGCGAGACGTGGCACCGTGTAGCGGGCGCGACTGCTGGGGTCGATCGCGCGGTTGAGAGGGGTGCAGCGTGGCGTACCTGTCGAAGTTGCTTTACGCGATTCGTTAGAGGCGCGGCGCGTCTTTTCCGCGGATTCAGCGGCGAGGGAGAGCGACGGCAGCAGCGAGGCGGCAACGATGATCGCAGCGCAAACGCGCGCGCATCGCGACGAGGACCTGCGATCCGCCTTGGATTGTCTCACAACCCGATTGGGCGGCCGGCAAGGCGGCTTGGGCATCGCGGAGATGCCAGCTGGCAGTGAGCTATTGGCCGGAGGGTGGACGAAGCCACGAAACCCGAGGGACGCCGGCGATCAGAGCGCGCGACGAGATGCGAGTGACGGTGGAATCTAGGGGCCTACTTATCTCAGGTCTACTGTACCTCACCCGAATTGCATCCGCGATATGCACAGTACGGCCGGCCGTACCGCGAAAGCGTAACCACTTACAAAAGTTGGATGCTTATGCAGGCTTACCATATGCAACCTAACCTAGATACGTCTACGCTTCTTCTTAGTAGGCTGTGCTACACCCGCATTTCCGGTTGCATTATCACCAGGTACACATTGCACATGCGGCTGAGGAGCGACTATCCTAGCATCATGACTTGCCAGATCCCTTCCTGCTGCTGTGCCTTGAGCACACCCACTAGCGCCACAATGCCCAGCTGCCTCCCTGGCATGCGAGTCTCCCGTGCTGCCCGGGCCTTGGCTGCTGGCGGCACCTTGCTGTGATGAAGGGCTCAGAGCAATAGTCTTGTGCATTGAATGGAGGGGAATGGAGCAGAGGATGATTGGAGAGACACAGGACATGGTGCACCACGGGGGAAGTAGATAGGGATAGAGGCAAAAAGAAGCGCATGAGGACCTGATTTGAAAGGGGCAGAAAGAACACGTCCAAGGAGACCGCATAGAAATCAGCGTACAATTGAGGAGCGAACCAAGCAAAGGATGAAGCACAACGGGCCTCAACAACGGTTGTAAATGGTGCAGGCAGGCACGACCCACCGTGGCCAGGCTGGCTTCAGCTGGTGGGTGCAGTGCAGTGAGGCGGGAGCGCACGAGAGCCGCGGTGGCGTCCATGGAGGGAACACTCGAGTACTGCGCAGGGCGGGAGGGGCGCGTGCTGCCGCACGGCTGCTCGCTGCTGCAGGGCGGGTCGTTGCTGGAGTTGCCAAGGCTGGTGTTCTCCACAAGGGAGTTGCCAGCACTGTCCATGCTGCCATGGCCATGCCTCGTGGCCTGCGCTGGACCCTGTGCCAGGCTGACAGGGAGGGGGAACGCACGACCGGAGATCTCTGGATGCTGGAAAGGACTGGGAGGTGGCTGCTGACGTGGATGGCAGAGCTGCTGATGTGGCTGACAGGGCTGCTGATGTGGCTGGGCGAGCTGCGGACATGTGTGTTGACAGAATGGAGGGATGCCGGGAGGGAAATGCGTCGGTGCTGCCTGGGGGGTGGGGGCGAGGGAGACGAGAGACGGGAGGGAGCGGCAGAGCAACAGAAGCAACATGGCTGGCACAGCAGTGGCACAGCGGAAAGAGAAACGGAGCAAGGAGAAGCAAAGCGGTGAAGGCAAGAGGAGTGGCAGTGCGGAAGGAGAGTCACCGACCCGCAGTGGGGGACGCGCAGGTGGAAGCGGTGCGAGGGAAGGGATCGTGCCGGCACATGCGGCTGCTGCTGATGCTGATGTTGATTTTGATGCTGATGCTGATGCTGATGTTGGTGCATGTGCACCGTCACCCATCCCCCCATGCGCCTCTCTGTGGTTTGCGTCTGCCCTGCCGTCATCCTGCCGCCCATCTCTCTGCGTGCCCGCTTGCTCCTCCGCCAGCCCTGCCAGGGAGAGCACGCAGCATGGAGGCGTGAGTCATGAGTCATGACACATGGCAGCATGGCAGCATGGCAGCATGGCAGCCTGGCAGCATGGCAGCATGGCAGCATGGCAGCATGGCAGCATGGCCGCATGGCAGCATGGCAGCATGGTAGCCTGGCAGCCTGGCAGCATGGCAGCATGGCAGCATGGCAGAATGGCAGCATGGCAGCATGGCAGCATGGCAGCATGGCAGCATGGCAGCATGGTAGCCTGGCAGCCTGGCAGCCTGGCAGCATGGCAGCATGGCAGCATGGCAGCATGGCCGCATGGCAGCATGGCAGCATGGCAGCATGGCAGCATGGCAGGAGGTGGTGAATGTTGGTTTGCAAGTCATCTCATCTCATTGCAACTCACCACTCTCTCTGGTTCTCACTGAAACTTCTGGTTCTCCCACCCCCTCTTCCCACCCTTCTCCAAACCTCCCTACCCCCCTCTCCTCCCGCCCACCCACCCATCTAACCAAACCCCACCTCCTTCTTCCTTCCAGCCTCCCCTTACCTCCCCTTTCCTCTCCCCCCCCCTTCCCTTCCCCTCCCCCTCCTCATGCCGCTTCCCCGCTCATCCCCCCTTCTCACGTCGGCATCGGACGGCCACGATTCGCCGTCTCTCCTCCAGCTTCGCCCACGTGTCCTCCATCGCCTCATGCCCGGGCAGGTACGAAACTTCCAATGCGCTGCCCATGAATGGGTAGTCGTCCAGCTTCCTCTTTGCAAATCTGGGCGGCATGAGATGAGAAATGATAAGATGATATGGGCAAGGTCACCACGGTGTGTGAAGTGAATGCATGAGGCAGCAAACGCATGTGGATCACACGCTGCATTGCACTCTATGGTTGAATACGGCGGTGCGTTATACTCCGCCTCTCACCTCGCATGGTTGATGTGGGCGAATTTGATCCACACAACGTCAGTGAACGGCGCTGCATCCTCCTCATCCATCATGCGGTGCCTGCCATGGCGCCATGGGGCATGTGGGCATGATAGCGTGGCGTTGAGATAAAGTAGCATGAATACCATGGCGCAATCATGCCATACGAAATCGTGTCATGGCCCCCCATAGTGACATGGCGCCATAGTGACACGAGGACACCAATAAGAAAGCCTTTGGTCAACCGTCACACTCCCCAACTACTCATCCCCCTCTGCAAAACTCACATTCTCACGCTCCTCCCGCTCCTCGCCCCAAAGTTTCACAGAACCCACTCCACAGTGCTGCGCCACTCACTGGTGGATGGGTCCATGGGCGGCGAACAGCCGAATGAGGTCGTCTGCACACCCTAGAGCCGGCACGTTGCGCACCATCAGGCACCTGCAGTGCCGCGCGCCGCACGGAGGCGCGCAGCAATGAGGCGTGCAATGGCCAGGCATGTCAAACCGAAGCACAAGACACACACAATGGACAAGCAGGTAACCGTGCCCCATGGGAGAGACTAATGTAGCAGAAACATGAACCCCACCCCAACCCACCCCACCCCACCCCATCCCACCCCATCCCACCCCATCCCACCCCATCCCACCCCATCCCATCCCATCCCATCCCATCCCATCCGATCACGCCATACATCATCCCACCTCGATTCATCGTTAACAGTGTAAACGCGCACTGCCCTCTCGCGGTTCCCCGCCCGGTACTCCGCGCGCGTGTGGCACACTTTGTCGTCTTCCTCCTCCTCGCCGTTCCACATGGTTCCCACAGCCGCGGACGGCTTTATCCGCTTTGTCAATCACCAGAAAGGTGGGGTTTTGCTCGAGAGCACAAGAGCAGAAGGTTCTGCGTCTGCGATCCGCGCGAGCAACCCTGCGCCGTGACGGCGCTTTGGAGCCGACTGGACCCGTGCTGAAGCGGAACCCCGTGAGGCGACGGCGACGACGCGGCGCAACTATAAATCCACGTCACTTATCACATTGGACGGGCGTCAGTGTCAGCATCACGCGACAACTACTCTGACCAGGCTTCGCCCAACGCTCGTTGCCGTCCGTGCCTTTCATCTCGTACAACCTTCGCACAAGCTCTCTCCACGCACCCAGTTGGGCTCAAGTTAGTGGATTCAGATCGACGCTCCTAAATTAGGGTCACGACCCGTGCTCGCACATGCCATACCCGCTCTACCACTATCGTGTGCCCACGGAAAATCGGAGGCCTAGCACAAGCTCAGGCATGAGCAGAAAACGGCGGGGAGGAGGGCGGTCTGGGAGGCATTCAAGTGCGCCGCCCATTCCGAAAGAACGACTTCGGTCTGTTTCAACCGCCACGCGACTCGCAGCTAGGGTCTCATCATTGACGAAAGCGCAAACCGTCGCCAGAAACGAGCGGAGAAAGATGTTGCAAGGGCGTGTCGCGAAATACCAGCTTACCGAAATGAATGGCGAGAGATGTCTGGAAACTGGTAACCATCCCGAGCATCAAATTCTGACCCGAAGGAGATGGTCGCAGGTGTGGAAGACAGCCGAAGCTGCAACGGGAGACAGTTGATTCTGCTGAAATGAATCGAAATACGCCCTCAACCCCAAGAGAGCAGACTGTTTTGATTTTCGAACCGACGCTCAAGCCGCTGAAATACACAAACCAGGAGAGGATAATCTTGGACCGGCACTTCTGCCCCCGCCTGTGCCGCTGATGCTGTAGGCTTCGAGGCTGGAGCCTCGGGAACTCCATCGAGTTTATTCAGTTAGACCTTCGACGCATCATCCCTAGCGACCATCCGCGGTCCTTTATCGTGGTTCCCCTTTCACGGGAGTCTCGTTGGCTCCCTGAATACTGGTTCTTCCTGCAGACGCTACCGCCGGATTTCCTGCGGACGCTGACGGGGAGCTGACTTCTTTCCACGTGTCCCTTTGTGAGAAGCTTCGTCGTCGGTGAAAAACGTTGTGCTCCGCTTGATCGACGGGTAGCCGCGCGTCTCTCCCCGCGCCAGCAGTCGCTCCAACTCTCCCCGCGCCCGCCGTCGCGCCGCCATGCGCGTACTGGTGACGGGCGCCACGGGCTTCTTGGGGACGGCGCTGGTAGCGCGGCTCGTTGAAGTGGGGCATAAAGTGAGGCTCCGTTATTGAGTGATTGCGCTTTGTCGAGACAATTTACGCGTACGTAGCGTTAATCCCGTGAGATTCAGCAGCACTGTTTCAGAGCACACTACTTCCCTTCCTCCCGAACCACCAGCGCAGGTTCGGGTGCTGGTTCGGCGCAGCAGCGACGTGTCGGACCTGCCAGTGGTGGTGGAACGGGCGTATGGCGACGTGACAGATGGCGCGTCCGTATTGGCCGCAGCGGACGACTGCGAGGTGGCATTCCACCTGGCGGCGCTCGTGCAGGCGTGGTGGCCCGACGAGCGCGCGTTCGAGCGGGTGAGCGCAAGCAAGGGGCGAGCGGGTGAGTGTTGGAGAGCGCCGCAAACAGCTGCGATTGGAGCGGGGGGCGAGGGATGCGCGCGGGGTGGCCTGATGAGAGCGCGCTCGAGCGGGTGGGCGCTCGTTGTTGGGCCCAAGGGGCGAGGGGCAGCAAGGGTGGGGTCAGCGACGCGGGTCGGTGGAGGCGCAGCAAAGTCCGCCAGACAGAGTACATGTTCAGCTCACTGCCATGCGCCCCTCCCTCCCTGCTTCGCTCCCTCCCCCGTCCCTTCCTCCCTCCACCCTCCCTCCCCCCCTCCGTCCTCCCCTCCTCCCCCCCAGGTGAACGTGGGCGGGCTGGAGAACATGCTGCAAGCGCTGCGCGCCACGCCCTCGCTGCGCCGCCTCGTGTACACCTCCTCCTTCTTCGCGCTGGGGCCCACGGACGGCACAGTAGCCGACTCCTCTCAGGTATTCACACATGGATGTCGCGTGCCGCTCGCATGTGAATCGTGCATGTCGCTCGCATGTGAATCGTGGATGCCGCTCGCATGTGAATCGTGGATGCCGCTCGCATGTGAATCGTGGATGCTGCTCGCATGTGAATCGTGCATGTTGCTCGCATGTGAATCGTGGATGCCGCTCGCATGTGAATCGTGGATGCCGCTCGCATGTGAATCGTGCATGCCGCTCGCATGTGAATGTGAATTGTGCATGTCGCACGCATGCATTTTAGCTGTTCGCCAGACGCCCAGACACCTCATGTGTGCCAGCCACGTTTGGCACTGGAAGCCCATGGGTGCGCGGCAGGCAAGCGGCGGACACAGAGGGGCTTCACCCGGAGCTGGCACCAGCCTCACTCCTGCCCTCTCGCGTGCCCCGTGCCCCGTGCCCCGTGCCCCGTGCCCCGTGCCCCGTGCCCCTCACGCCCTCTTTCTCAGGAGCACCCCGGCCGTGGCTTCTGCACGGCGTACGAGCGCAGCAAGTGGGCGGCGGACCGGGTGGCTCGGCGGGCGGCAGAGGAGGAGGGGCTGGACGTGGTGGTGGTGTACCCGTGCGTCATCTACGGGCCGGGTCGCATCAGCACCGCCAACCTGGTGGTCAAGATGGTGAGAGGCGGAGGTGAAAGCACGAGGCCGCCTTGGTGGTCGTCGTGACTCAACATGGTATGGGGGGCGCTGTATTGAGAGGGGTTGCTGGTGGCATTGGCTAGCTCAATTCTTGTGAACTCTCCCTACCATCCCGCTGCTGCCTCTCCCCACTTCACCAATCCGTCTTGTTCCAGTTGTCTCCTCTTCGTCTCATCCTTTCTCCTTCCCTCCCTTCCCCTCTCCCACTCTCCTATCCCGCCCATGGCACGCCATCCCCCTCCCACCCGTCCATCAGATCGCCGACCATTTCCAAGGGAGGCTGCCCGGCCTGGTGGGCTCGGCGCGCGCCTCAACAACTTCGTCCACGTCAACGACGTCGTGCTTGGGCTGCTCGCCGCCCAGCACCGCGGCGTGCCCGGGCGGCGCTACATCCTGGGCGGCGAGAACACGTCGATGCTGCAGCTGTTTCAGGCGGTGCACCGCGCCACGGGGAAGCGCCCCCCGAGGCTGCGCCTGCCGCTGTGGGTGGTGGCGGTGCTGGGGTGGGTGTCCGTGGTGGTGGCACGAATGGGCGGACCCATCCCCATCTTCACACATGAGGTGAGCGCGGCATTCGCACATGAGGTGAGCGCGGCATTGGCACATGAGGTGAGCGCCGGCATTCGCACATGAGGTGAGCGCGGCATTCGCACATGAGGTGAGCGCGGCATTCGCACATGAGGTGAGCACGGCATTCGCACATGAGGTGAGCACGGCATTCGCACATGAGGTGAGCGCGGCATTGCCACATGAGGTGAGCGCGGCATTGGCACATGAGGTGAGCGCGGCATTGGCACATGAGGTGAGCGCGGCATTGCCACATGAGGTGAGCGCGGCATTGCCACATGAGGTGAGCGCGGCATTCGCACATGAGGTGAGCGCGGCATTGGCACATGAGGTGAGCGCGGCATTCGCACATGAGGTGAGCACGGCATTGGCACATGAGGTGAGCGCGGCATTCGCACATGAGGTGAGCGCGGCGTTCGCACATGACCACGTCTGCAGCACGCACCACGCCATTTCTCCCTACTCCCCTGTCCCTCGCCTCCTCTTTCCCCTTTCCCTCTCGTAGCAAGAGGTGGCCGACAGCAGCCACCACGCTACTGCTCCCCTTTATGTCTGTCCTGCTGTCGCCCCTTTTTCTCCTCTCCGCTTGCTTGCTCTCCCCCTTTTCGCCTCCACCACTCCCAGTCAGTGCGTGCATTCCGCCACGACTGGGCGTGCAGCAGCCGGCAGGCCCACCAGGACCTCGTGAGTCGTGCGTCCACCTCCTGCTCCACCTCCTGCTCCAGCAGCCAGCACCCCCCCTGCTCCACCCTCCCACACCCCCTGCGCCCCCATCAGTCGGTGCGTGCATTCAATCACGACTGGGCGTACAGCAGCCGGCAGGCCCACCAGGACCTCGACTACGCGCCGCTCTCCTTGGAGGAGGGCCTCAGAGACACGCTCACGTGGATGCGAGCTGTGGGCGCCATCAAGTACTGACCTTGACTCCCCACAGCTACTCTCCACAGCTACTCTCCACAGCTACTCTCCACAGCACAACCCCGACTACTCTACTACTTGCAGCCGCTCCCCTCCAAGTGGGCCTCAGAGATTCGGACATGGCGATGCCAGCAGTGCCAGCAGTGCCAGCAGTACCAGCAGTGCCATCAGTGCCAGCAGTGCCAGCAGTGCCATCAGTGCCATCAGTGCCATCAGTGCCATCAGTGCCATCAGTGCCAGCAATGCCATCAGTGCCATCAGTGCCATCAGTGCCATCAGTGCCATCAGTGCCATCAGTGCCAGCAGTGCCAGCAGTGCCATCAGTGCCATCAGTGCCATCAGTGCCATCAGTGCCATCAGTGCCATCAGTGCCATCAGTGCCATCAGTGCCATCAGTGTCATCAGTGCCATCAGTGCCATCAGTGCCATCAGTGCCATCAGTGCCATCAGTGCCATCAGTGTCATCAGTGCCATCAGTGCCATCAGTGCCATCAGTGCCATCAGTGCCATCAGCTGCTGGTGCAACCACACCACACACAGCAGGAACAGGTGGGCTGTTGGTGCATCAAGTGCTGAGTGCATATGGTGCTGTCGAACATACACTTCAATTTGCTTTAGGTGATTGACCCACTGTACATATTGTACATGACCACTTGATGCGAAGCAACATAACAGCATGGCATGAGGAAATGCAATCTACGTACTCCCTATAAATCGAGTCCCTTGACCACTTGACACTCCTCTGAACCCCTTGGCAATGACGTAAATCTCGCGAGAGGAGGCCGCGTGGCTTTGGGGCGAAGGCGCGTGACTGATGAGAAGAGCTGGCGACAATCACCCACGTAGTCTTTAGGAGAGGAGGGGGGAGGGAGAGAGAGGGAGGAGGAAGCGAGGGGGGAAGGGGGGAGGGGATGGGGGGAGTTGTGGGACAGTTGAGAGTGGAAGGCGGGCGAAGGAGAAGAGGTGTGGCAGCAGCAACAGACAGCCCTCGCTACCCCTGCTGCCACCACTCCCTGCCACCGTACCTGGGGTATCCTCACTCTCTAGTATCTTCACCACCATGTGACCCCCCACCGCCAACACGCCACCCTTAGCTGCTGAGACTCTATCGCAAGGCCCTTCTGCAAGACCTCTGCTCTCTTCTTCCCCCCCTTGGCCACGTGCTGCTGCTCCCCCTGATGACTGCGCCCTTGCTGCTGCTCCGTCTGCTCCTGCTACCGCTCCTGGGTCCTTTGCTGTTGCAACAGCTGCTGCGCCTGCGCCTCTGCTCTCGCCGCTGCCTGAGTCAGTACAGGCCGGGAGTGAGTGTGAGCCGTGGCGCTTGAAGCGGTGTGTGTGTGAGGCATGCGTGTTAGGCGGCTGTGAGTGCCATGGGTGCGAGGTGAGGGGCTCAGAGGGTGTGTAAAGGGAGTGGGCGGCGAGGGCGAGAGCGCGGCGGGCGAGGGAGTGAGAGGCGGCGGCATCGGAGGGGGAGGCACCGGAGGTGGAGGGACACATGTCTGAGAGGAGGGTGGAGAAGCGAGGAGGGAAAGGCAGGTGAGGCTGGGTGGGGCAAGGGAGGGGGAAAAGGTGGGGGAAGGGCAGGGAGGAGACAGATGAGAGTAGAAATGAGATTGGAGGGAGGAAGAGAGGGAGAGGGATTGTAGTCAGAGAGTGTGAGGGAGGAGGGAAGTAGATGAAGAGGGGGAGGTGAGGGGGAGGGGGAGGGGGAGGAGGAGAGGAGGAGAGGAGGAGGAGGAGAGGAGGAGGAGGAGGAGGAGGAGA